GAATTTTAGAATTTTTACATAATTACAAATGTGTAAACAATATTGTAAGTTGTTTAGGTCCCAGGCTAAAAGAAAAGGTTTTGTAAGATTTGCTGGTTTTGTAACGTCTGCTGCAGCAATTCAATTTTTTGTGAAAGAACTAGAAAGTGAAATATGTGAGCAGCATCTTTGTTTCTAGGGGGCATGTGCAAAACTTCAGTTACAGAAGTTGAAATAATCGAATTTAATTGTCCAAGGAGGATAAAAGAATAAATATTGGGCGGGAGTATAATACTTGAATAAACAAAGACAATTAAAAATCATAGGAGGAAATATTGGTGCAGGTTTTTTTACCTTTCATAAAGCTTTTCAGGAATTGCTATGGAGTGCCTCAGCTCTTGGGGACCTATGCTAAAAGGGACGTGATATTGAGGAAGTGCTGAGCACTGTTTTTCTGGAAATTGGGCCCATGAACGGCATTTCTGGCTGCAGATGCTAATTAGGCATGCCAATAATTCCCTTTAAAACTCTTCACCGTTCTTTTATATAAGAGAAATGCATACAACACAATTTTGTACGCAAGCTCAGTCTAAGTAGGACATTGCATGCACGATTGCTGTCATTATACATCAGGCTGCAGTGTGCATCTAAATTAAGAGATTCTTGGTGTCTGGCTTTATGGAGTGGGCATCTTTCTAATAGCAGTTTTGAAACGTGTGCCCGCTCCATAAACAGAGAGGCGACCAATGCTTGTTTTAAGTAACCGAGACCTTTTTAAACTAGGTATGCCGCTAGGTGGCATATGCTGATAGCACTTGGGTCTTTGTCGGCGCAGCCATGTGCTCCAAGATGTCTGCGGACAGGCAGAATATAATTTGAGGGTGATTTGTGTGTACCTGCTTGTGTGGGGGCTGAGGGGTGGCTCTTTGCCCCCTACACTCTCCCTCTCCTCAGCACTGGGGACCTGGGGGTGCCAGGCAAGGCACCGAGGGCTGCATAGCCCCAGGAGGGCACAACTCACGCACAGCCAGGCCTGAAGGGTGGCTCTTTGCCCCCCCCTCTCCTTGCTACATGGCCTGGGCTGCCTCACTGCTGGGGGATGCCCCAGCAGGGCACAGGCCACACCTTTGCCCCCCACTCTTTTCCTCTTGCTGCTTGCCCCGGGTTTCCTCAGCGCCAGGCGCCTGAGGGGCGGCAGCCGAGGCCTGCATCGCCCCATCACCCAGGTCATTTTTCTACTCCGCCTCCTGCGGCTTGCCCCAGGGCCACGGAGCTGCCACTTGAGGCACCCATCCCATGAGGGATGTGCCAGCCAGGGCTGGGGGGATCTCTCTGCCCCCCACTTCCTCCCTCTTGCGGCGGCGCGGGCACAGCCCTCAGGACCGCGGCGCGCATCCTGCGGCGCAACACCGAGCCACAGGTGGCGCCGGCAGCCAGGCGGGGGTGTCTGCGT